TGTTGTTGTTATTATTTTTAATGTACAGTGATTGTTTTGTATATATATGTATATAGCGTGCATAGAAGGTATATACGAGTGAATTAACCATTCAATCGAATAACACAAAATGTTTGTCTAACTGTCTGTCTGTCTATCTATCTATCTATCTGTCTGTCTGTCTGTCTGTCGGTCTGTGTGTATTCATCTGTGTAATTCATTTGGTTTTCGCAAGAAGATCATTAATTTTACAAGAAGGTAAAAATCTGTTTTAGTTGTTGCTGTTGCTGATTCAAAGAATTTACAAAAAAAAAAAAAAAAAAAAAAATACGACAATACAAAACCAGAAAAAACAAAAAAAATGAAATGAATGAATAAACAAAGTATTGTTTAGCGAATACAACTCAAGTATTCACACAATGCGAGTTACAAAAATAATGATAAATTCTTGATTCCTTGAAAACATTATTTCTTTTATAAAAAAAAATGTATATATATATATGTTTACATCAACTTATTGTGTCATATACAAATATCTATGTCTAGGAACCCGACAAATATACAAACTATTCTTTTATATAATAACTTACGCACACTTACGTATTCTACATATATTGTGCCAAACAAAAAAAAAAAAAAAAAATTCCAAAAGGTCTGTTATTCTCCTACATTTACTACAAATATTCATTTCTGATTACATGAAGAGTTAGTTATGGAAGAGAATATATCTCGTTTTATGAATGCCTTATATAAGGTTAATATTTAGTAGTTCTAGCTTTTCTATGCAATAACTGTAGCGACATACAATTTTTCGATTATCGTCTAATATGCAAACTTTCGAATAACAACTCTCAACATTTCAATTATATTTTCATCGAGAAGACGTCTTATAACGTCTTGTTTTTTGAAGATCATACAAGTTCAAAGTATTTCAAGTTTTAGGAAATGAAGACGATCTTATATTCATATGCATCGCCTTATGATGTCAACTAATAAGGATTTTGAACGGTCACTAGTCCCAAAAGATTTCTCTTGTCACAGATTTTGTGACTATCAGCGACACGCTGACGTTGTAAACGCTCGCTAGTCATGATAGAAAATAATGCATTTGGCTTTTGCGCTCTTTCCGGAGCAGATAGTACTTTCTCTCTCTCTCTCTCTCTCTCTCTCTCTCTATACTGGCAATTTTGTTTTTAAACATAGTTTTTGGATAAGAAAAATCAGAAACAAAAAAAGGCCTTGGTGTCTTGGTGATGTTACTGAGAAGAATGTGTTGTTTGCTAGCATAACTACGAAGATCTAATATTACATAATTGTAAACCTACTACTGAAGAGATGATAATGGATCAAATTCATTTCGTCTAAATATTTGCAATACAAGGAAAGAAGCTTTACAGGCTCTATAAAATCACCAATAAATGTTGACTCGGCCTAAGCATGTGCGTCAGTCCGTCAGTCCGTTTGTAGTAAACGATCTCTTTATCGTAAAAATTAAAATATTAACCTCAAATGTGAACAATTTCAGCAAAAAAGTACACGAACAAATTGCGATACTCAGAATCCCATACTAAACGCAGTAATAAAGTATACGAGTGCAGTCTATGTCGAAGTATAATGTTAGCGGAATGACAAAAATATTACTTCTTTTCTTATAAATCAAAATAATTTTCATGGATTTATTACTGACTGAGGAGATTCGGAGGACAAGGCATTGAAGCAAAACCTAATGTCAGTTAGAAGCATCTCATGAAGATTTCTATAGGTCTGTAAGAAAAGAAGATCATCCTCACCGATCTGTCCGATCATGCCTATTACTTGTCTATCTTTGACATTTCGAAACGATTCCATCGGAGGGAGCACAATACTTACTCCTTGACTTGATTACGATGAGTTCTCATTTGCCAAAGTAAAACATGTTGTTCTAACACACACACGTTGGAATTCTTTTCGTCCCGTTAATTCATAAATATCTGCTCCTGAAGCAAACTCTTCCTATTCTATTTCTTCTGCTCTCGATTCTAACTAATTGCTATCGAATATCAATTAATTATGATTATGAAGAATGGTTTTGGATGGAATGGAATTTGAAACAGTTTGCGTCATCTTTACGAATTAGATACGTTTTTTGGTATAAATTGTTGATAAACATTATTACATGCGTAACTTATTGCTGCTTGTGGTAAAAAAAAAAAATTAATAAATAAATTTTTAAATTAAATTATTTTCCAATCATTTTTTTTTCATGGTATAATTGAAATGTGATAGTTAATCGAGCGATTCGAAAGTGTTCATTCACTACATTAATATAAATGATTCATTTTGTCCCGTTTTTCTCTTTCTACTTTATATTTAGTTTATCGACTACCTACCTACCTATCCATCTATCTATCTATCTAGGTATCTATCTATATAAGTGCATCTAATAGCGTTTGTATAACTTTTTCTTATTTAACACTTTCATATTAAAATTAACTATAAAATATTTTTGCTTTATAACCAAAAACTAATTAAGCCAAACACTTCTCTTTCTCTTCATTTTGTTTTTTTTTTTTTTTTTTGCTCTTTCTGATCCTAACTTTTTTGCACATAAAGAAACTTAAGCGCAATTACGTATTAAAAAAAAAAAAAAAAGAAAAAAAAAAAAAAAAATAAAAAAAAAAAA